ATATATATATATATATATATATATATATATATATATATATATATATATATATATATATATATATATATATATATATATATATATATATATATATATATATATATATATATATATATATATATATATATATATATATATATATATATATATATATATATATATATATATATATATATATATATATATATATATATATATATATATCATTTGGCTTGATTACTGCCTATTTCCCCAAGAATAATTATATTTTCTTTATATATCATTACACCCCTAAACATTTATCCTTTATTTTCTAATAGGCGACAACATCCACCACCGATGCGGGCCAGGAGTTTGTGTTAGTTTCCTTTGGATCATCTAGCTAGATCTAATGAACTAATGAGGAATATAATAAGTGTTGCTAGCTATGAAATGAAAATACGAACAGAGTACTAAAGCTGCAAATAGAAATTAGTAATAACGTACCTGGAGTATCAATCACATTAAGAGTTTGGCCATCTTCTAGTTTCGTTGAGTGTTGCTCAGAAGTAGTAGGAACACCCCCACCAATAATCCTTCGCTTGAATACATTTCTTCCAAGGATACTATTCCCTGTTGCACTTTTCCCATTACCTGTTCGTCCAACTAACACTATAGTTTTAACCTCACTTAGAGGTGCAGGGGACTTAATTGAACCCCAACATGGACAAAGAAATATACAGACATACATAAGTTTAAAAGTAAATGATGGAAATGGTTTTCTTAAAGCACACATATATATACACACGCACGCTTATTAATTACAGATAGGTAAGCACATGGGCTTACTACTGTTTGATGTCGCTGCTGCCTCTGATTCTCATTTTCCTTCCGATGAGCAGTCTCTAATAAATCCAATCTCATCTTATACGTTTCATCATTTGATTTCACTTGAGCAGAGAGTGTCATAATTTCTTCCTTGAGTCGACCATTTTCCTGCTCTGCTATTTGTTGTGCAAGCTTATCAAAGCTCTCCTTGAGCTTTAACTCTGCTATTTGCTGTGCGAGCTTATCAGAGCTCTCCTTCAGCTTTAAATCAACCTACATACAAAAACAGATGCATGCATGCCATATCTTTATATATATGGGGTAGTTTATGATGAATTATGCACAAACTAAATGTATTATATCTGAAAAAAAGTACCGCCTCGGTTATTTTCTTAAGGTGCTCTTCATATGACTTTTGTAACTCCTTCTTCAATTTAAATTTCTCCTCTTCAAAATTAACTTTAATGGCTGGAGCATCATAAAAAAAATCGCTTGTTGCTCCTTCCTACGGTTGATGATTAACTTACGCATTGTACAAGTTTCTAACATAACTAAAAACAAAAAAATAAAAAATAAACATGGTTTCATTGAAAGCACTTACCTTCAATTCAACAAATTGCGGACTCATATACGGTTCTCCACCATTTTTATTTACAACTGCATGTACTAAGGCAAGAAGTTGCTTCCCTTGTTTAGATTTCTGAGGTTCGTCTCTTGTTTTGTTATTAAAGAGAACATGCCGGTTCCCACACATTCTGAGAGTTTCCTGTATCAAAATCCACAAACAACTAATTAATTACAATGAACAATATTCTTTGAATATCAAGAGAAAGTAAATGACTAAAAATCATGGTTTAATTCATAAATCCATGTTCATAGGGAACAAATAAAAGACTTAAACAGGGAACTATACCAAGATCTTCATAGCAAAATGGTATGACCTAGGCAATTTCTTGGCGGACAGACTTGATATTTGATAATATATTCCGATAAATAAATTAAATATGGAGAGACTTAAATGAAGAGCGATGAGAGTTGTACCTTATAGTGTTGGGGGCAATTGCGACCAAAATAATCATCAAGAGTCTCATCATCTTCAAGATAATCACCACCGGTGAAAAGTACAACCATATAGTCAATAATTTTGGGGCCAAAAAATGCCTGCAACATCAAAACACCAGCTTCTTCTTCTTCTTTAGAAATGCGTGTTTTAATTGATGCAACGAGAAGAATAGCATGTACACCATCCTTTGCCAAATTGATGCACTTAGCAATTTCCTTTCCGATAAATTGAGGTTCAGCCGAACAGTCAAACAATCCTGACAATTGCATTTAGTTCATCAAGTCACACATATTTACACGTATCAACAAAAAGATTCTAAATTAGCGCCAACATGCATATATCATATATGTACGTACCTGGGGTATCAACCACAGCAAGATTCTGCCCATTTTCCAGTAAAGTTGTTGTATGCATCTCACAAGTGTTGGTAACACGAGTAGGGCTGGACATTGACTTGAATGCCTTTCTTCGAAGAATACTATTCCCTGTTGCGCTTTTCCCATTACCTATTTTTCCGATCAATACTATAGTTTTAGCGACCTCATTTGAAGGTGATGCCATTCAATAAGTCAACTTATCTGCACAAAGACCAACAACCGTACATCGAGTGTGAAAGAATGAGATAACTGCCATAAATTATCGGATCATTATGAAAGAGAATGAGGAATTTCTTACAGAAAAACCAAAGGGAAGAAAAGAAAATGGAGATATATTTGTAAATGCAGCTTATACAATAGCAAGATATGTTCATCAAACCATTAATAATGATTCAATCCATCAGCATCAAATGTGCTAATACTATAGTCTATAGACTTGTAGGCATTTTACTTATATAAAAAAGAAAAAGACTTGTAGACATTTTGTATTTAGAAAAAATAAAATAAAAAAACAATTGACTTGATCTTAATTAAAAAAGAAAGACATTGGCAATGTTGATTTTTCAAAAGTCGTCGGTTCTCCCAACTTGACCACGATGAAGTGTGAGCTGGGAATTAACACCTGGTTTCAAGAATTAAAGTATACCAAATACTTTATTCAAAAATTAATATTTTCCCCAAAAGTCCCTGAATTGATATTCATATACCACAACCCCCAGCCAGCTTCACCCCTCCTCAATTGCTTCTCATCAACCCATTGTTTTGTTCTCATAATTATTTATTCTACTATTAATTATTAACTATTAAATTATAGGGTAAATTACAACCATCCATTAGGTTAATACGAAAAACCTCCTCTTGTTTGGATAATTACATCTACCCCTAAACTATAAATCTTCTTACACTTCCACCCTTAAAGATTCCCTGTAATGTGCTCTAAATTGTACTCGTTTTGGTAAACATACAGTTTCTGATGCACACAATCTGATATATACAAGCCAAAAAACACATCTTATGATCATCTTACTTCAAAATGTGGAGCTCGAATTGGATAAAACAGGTATAAAAGTGATAATATTCCATATAATCAAGAATATTATATTTCACTAAATTTGAAACCGCAAGGGTGGACGTGTAAGAAAATTTATAGTTGAGGGGTTATTCTAATTTAATATATATATATATATATATATATATATATATATATATATATATATATATTTATTTTAATGAGTCAATCAAATAAATGGACAGTGTCTTCTTCTGTCAATATTTCTTACTATTTCAAAATACTCTTTTTTCATCATTCTTTTTTTCAATCAAACTGAGAGGAACTCGCAAAGCTGCAGCTGCACTCGCAAAGCCCAGTAAGGAATATACCTCGCAGCCCGTTCTTGTCAAACATAAACGAGTTTCGAAATGCGATGGAGAGGATTTTAAAAGGGTCTAGAGAGGATTTTAAAAGGGTCTAGAGAGGATTCCATGAATTATTTTTCACCTTTGAGTTTCGGCACGAGTAGTAGTATTGGTGGATTTTGTGAATTTCCTCGAAATTTGTTCGATGAATCCGAATGTTCGTTCTCGTTTATTCTCTGGATCGAGTGATTACCCTCCGAAGAATGAAAGATACAGTGCATGGCCAGTTCTGACTATAGGCGAGAGAGGCGGTCGCCTCGGACCCTCGACTTTTAGAAAAAATTAGGGGTCCCCAAATGATGTTTTTGTAGTCTTTTTATATATATATATAATAGTCATAGTATTAAATATTATTTAAAATATATAAATAGTTCAACAATTTTGAATAATTATAACTATATTATGTTACATAGTTTAAGTATTTGTTGGAATTTTTACATTTATTATTGCATTTGATGTGAATTAATTGTCTTAGATCAATTAAAACTAGTTGGACATTGAGTTATTATATCAATTTTTTATCTAATTCAAGATTTTAAACTTTTTTTTTCCCAACCATCTTTGCATTCTTTTAACCATCTTTACTATTCTAGGTTCAGGATTTATATTTTTATTCGCCAATAAACCCATCCCTTTAATATTTATTATAAATAAAGAAAGAAATAATACATATGACAAAATTACCCCCAACCCTTTACACTCAATTCTTAATTGTAACCCCAATTTAATTAATTTTGACCATAAAAATCCAATTTTGATTTTTTGTTTTTTTAACTTTTTTTTCTGAAATTATTTTTTTGCCGCCGGTTTCCGGCGTTGACTTTTTCGATTTTTTTTATTTTCGTTTTTTTATCCCCGCCGCTAAACGTTAACCGTAATTGTACTATCAATAACAATAATTATACTGTCACTGACAGTACATTAACGTAATTATACTGTCGTTGACAATACATTTACGTAATTGTACTGTCGTTGCCAATAGAATTACAATCATCGACAATATTATTATTTTTTCGGCTTTTCTTTTGTTTGATTTGTTGACAAGTGAACGCAATTATAATATTGTCCTTGTCGGTAAAATAACTGTAAACACAATAATATTTACAATAATATGACTATCAACCTCATCAATATTTGTTTTTTGGGAATTTGTTTTGTTTGAGTTGTTGACGAATTAACGTAATAATATTACTGTCTACTATTGTAATATTACTGTAAACACATAATATTACTGTGGTTGTCGGTAATATTACTGTCGTTACAGTAATATTACTGTGGATGACAGTAATATTACTGTAAACAACATCAATATTAATTCTTTTGACTTTTTATTATGTTTACCTTTGTTGAACGGTCAACATATGAATATTACTCTGGTACACAATAACAATGACTTTTGTTGTGTTACTATTATTGTGCTAGAAATTAATATAGCAATATTATTGTGTTAAACTGTAGTTTAGTTAATATTACTGTATTTAACAATAATATAGTTAATATTACTGCCAACCACAGCAATATTGTTGTTTAAACGGGGCAAAAAGATGTTAAATAAAAAATATTCAAAAAAAAAAGGTCAACGCCGTCGGAGACCGGCGTTGACCGCCGATCAGCGGCGACAGAAGCAGAAAAAAAAGGGAAAAAAAGTCAAGGGCGGCGACGAACGAAATTGTACTCAAAATTGCATTGTGGGTCAAAATTGAATAATTTGTGAAATTTGGGGTCAAATGAAGATTAAATTAAAGGATGAAATTGGAGCATATTAAAATGTGAGGGGCTATTTTAGTCTTTTAAAAACCTCTGAACGATGTGTGGACTTTTTTTGTAAGAGAGTCTTTTGTCTGTACCCCTTGATGAGCTTATTTGTAATGTGCCCTTCTTTTAAATCTACATTGATGAGTTTTTGTTTTGTTTGACTTAATATATACTATATTTTATTTAAATATATTTAAGCAAAGAATACATATATTTACTTGTTCAATAAAATTTATATGACTATTTTCAAATAAACTTTGGGGCTTTGCCCCGAACCCCATAAACTTTTGATTTTGTCTTAACTTCGTCGATATGTTAGTTGTATTTTCTTAAAAAATCTTAAATGCTAATTAAATTTTTTTTGTCCAGTTGTGCTCGTTATAATGAATTAATGTACATGCATTATACAGTACAAATTCATGACAGTTTTTACAAATTCTTAAAACTCGCCTAGGGCCTCTAATTTCTCAGGAACGGCCCTAATACAATGGCACTTATAATATGGAGTAGAGGCAATCCAATACTTGTAGAATCATCATTGTTTTTCAATGCACTATAGTTGGTTGGTAGCTTTATGTATGTCGTCGTTTCTTTCACTATTTAACCGATGTGGGACTCGAGAAAATGGCAAGTTGGGCCTGAACCACCTTTCGGTCTTCAATTTATTTGTTGATCCAGATAAACCTATATAATATCATAAGGAAATCTCTCTCTGATGCTCTGGGAACTAAACTTGGGGTCATTAGCAATAAGGCCCTCCTATAGATAAGAAATGGTGATATGTCCATCTCTTATTTCGTTCTTTATGATAACCTCCTAGCACTATTTATTCCAATAATACCCTTCAACCAAATTAGGACGACATTACTCCACATTTCTCATTTCCTGCTATTCTTGAAAATTCGCCACAAAATTGCGCTAGGTTTGTAGAGAATATTTTTTTGCCTGAAGCAAACCAAATTCACTCCATACTCTCATCATTGTCTTCGTTGTACAACCGTTCAAGAATCAATAGTGAAGAATTGCGAACATAATTTGATGTATTCAATGAGTACATACGCAGGCCCGAAGTCACGTTCATTTCAACCACATTGCGTGTGGAATGCAGTAAAACATATTTTACATCTCTTACGGCATCGGCAAGTGATTATATTTTCTTGAGTTATTCAATATTGTTTATTCAAGTAAGTATATTTTATGATTGTATAAAATATGTGTTGTTAATGTGTGCATGAGTCATTGGAAGAAAGATACTTTAGGAGGGAAGGATATCCGTACTTCGACATATGCGTGAGGGTGTTTCAAGAAAAAAATGCAGCTCCAATTGTGTTTGGGGAACTATGTTTTACTAATTATCAACTCAAATTACTTGTGGGGATGCGATATGTATTTTTCAGCTAAACATGTACATTGGCCAGCTTGCATTTCTAGCTATAAATAATAATTCATGCTTGATATATGTACATGGTTTCGCAGGCTTACATGCCCGTTCAATAAACGATCCACGCTTGATTTATATAAATCCCCCGATTCATTAAAGAACAACTAAATTCGGGAAGCCTCAAAAAGATTTTACAACACGTTCGAAGTAGCATACACAATATACAACTTGAAGGGAGATATCACAACAACAGATAAATAAAAATTAAACTACAGGCCAAACGAATTACAAAACATATTTCAACACACCCAATGCAATAACTGTTGAAATACATATTACAATGTGTTTTCATTTTTTCAAACGTTTCTTTTTCAGTAGCCAATGATGATTGCAATGTGTTGATTTTGTCCAATAATCCAGGAATGATTGCTTTAGCTCTATCACAAACCTCAGAATCACACCAGTAGAAGAACTTGCATTTATTAGCCTGCAAGAGAAAAAAAACGGGAAACAACAGCTTTTAATGATGTTTCCAAATGGAGGAGGATGTATTCGATACAAAATCTAGTACTGACACCTCTGGTTGGACATGTAACAAATCGCCGCCCTGGATTCGCCGTGGTCCATGAAGT